CTGGAGCGAAACAACAAAAATATGATAGAAATTTATTTTGCTAAACTTTTCCCGTTTCTCTTTACTCTCCCCTATGTCTCCATTCCCATATCTTAAAAATCAAAACACAATAACAATCCCATGTATGATCCTATTACATTTTATTAAATGTTGTTCACGGACGCATTTATTAATGGTATTAATTAATATGAATTAAAGTATTAAGAATTCGAGACAGATGGATATAGGTAATGGGAACAATTTGGTGCAGTGGCGTAAGTTTCATTGGGTAGGGTTAGTCAAAAACTAAGGGCCCCCGGCAGTTAGGGGCCCCTATCAGCCACGGCCTATCGCCCAGAAAAAATGTAAAAATGCAGGTTAAGTATCAATGGGAAAATGCAAAATTAATAATGCTAAATAACAAAGCCTCCATCGACAACTGATTTTTTTATTCCATCTCAAATAAAACAAAATTTAATCTTATTAGTTGTTACATGTGTTGGAGACTGTTATTGTTATTGTTATAGACATGGAATTTTCCAGAATATAAATATTCAATATGAATATGAAATCTCAGTCAAACAATGACAACAGTCAACAGGGGCCCCACACCAAATATGCATATTAGCTAAGGCCCCCTCTTCCTCCTTTACGCCGCTGGTTTGGTGTTAAAATTATGGCTTTCAATAGTTGAAAAGTAACTGACTGTAATGCCAGTCCGTAATGTGGGCATATGCAATTGTATTTAGTTCTAAAGCATAGAACAATCACAGGCATGCATATTCTATATATTGTTGGCGAGCATACAGTATACTAGTTGCATTTGGCTATTCTCGGTAATTGGCAACTACACACCCACGAAATTTAGAAAAATCGCACAAAATCTAAAATCCTAGATCCAGGATATTTCTCATATAAAACTATTATATTTCAGTGTGAAATGAGTGTAAATTGCATTCTGTTTATTAGAGGTATGACCACTCTAATAAATTATTTTTCGTATTTTTGCCGCTTTTGTAGATAGTTGGTACAGAAAGAAATTAAATGGCCTAGATTTTGCACCACGATGGCAGTGAAACCATTTCCGAAGGAACAATTGAATTTTTTTAAGTTTTCTACACTTGTTCTTGATGAGTTTCCCAAGGTGTTGCGTCAAATTTTTATCACCATGTGGGACAGCAAGGTTGCTGTAAGACCAGGATTCATTCCATGGGATGACAGTATCACGGTACGGAACATGCTTCTTAAATCTGAAGGTGGTAAAACAGATATACCAACTACGAAATCAATTGAGGAGTGGGATTGCACAGCTTTGTTTAAAGCGACAATCTATGCCAAAACATTTGGTGTTCTAAGCAGCAAGGGATCAACTTTGAATGATTTATATTTAAAGAAAGTTAAACCACCTCCTGGTTCTTTTCATTCATCAGTTCAAAGTTCAACAGGAAATCAAGATGAGACCTACGCCTTGGCAATTGATCAACTGCGATTATTGAGAAACACTCTTTGCCATTCGCCAAAAACAGAAATAGTTAAAACTAATTTTGACAATTATGTACAGCTGGTAACCAACGCTTTAACAGCAATCAATGTTGATACTGCCTTTGTGGATACTATTGGTCAAATGAGCGAGGATGATTTCCCTACAGAGAAAGTTCAAGAATTACATGAATGTCGTTTGAAGGAGTTACAAGCCAACAGTGTGTTTCATGACAATATGGAGCAGAAATTGTCCTCTATTGATGAACGAACCGAAAAAATGGAGAATGTGGAGGATGTTATGCAGCAGAAATTGTCCTCTATTGATGAACGAACAGAAAAAATGCATACAATGATGGAAAACATCAGTTTTGGAGATAAGGGAAGTGCACCAGGTAACCTTACAGTAAATATACACTGTGATAATTCTTACTGATTTGTTCAATTTTTAAAATTGTCTTCCTCGCTGCCGCTCTTCGCTGCCGCTCTTCGCTGCCGCTCTTCGCTGCCGCTCCTCTCCACGAGCAGATATAATTTATATATATATATATATATATATATATATATATATATATATATATATATATATATATATATATATATATATACATATATATATATATAATTGGAATTTACGCGGGAAATTTCAATTCTAAGATGGCGAATGGTGTAAATATCATAGCAGTAGTTTTCTTTTCGGCTCTTTCCGCGCTAATACATTGAGGCAGCGTTTACACTGTACCGTTTTCGTAGCGTTCTCGTATTGTTCGAGAGAACTAGACTATTGTCTTGCGTTCCCTTGAGGATTAAGAACAATACGAGAACGCTACGAAAACGGTACGGTGTAAACGCTGCCTTAAACACGTGCATGAAGCT